GGAATTACTGTACCAGCCCTTGGGCTGATCCGTCAGCACAGGAACCAAGGTCAGGCCGCTTCTCTGTGCACGCTCCAGCCAGTGAACTCATGGTGGCGGTTCTCTCTACTTTAGTGTGAGTCTGAAAGTTCCCATAACTAAGTTCTAAGAAGGAAATCGGAACCGCGTCCCCTCCCGCCACCTTCAGGGCCGGCTCGCAGCCCAGGGCAGCTCTGCCTCCCTTGCCCTTTCGCGCCAGCCCCACGGGCCTCCTCCTCCGGGACGAGCCGGCTCTGCCCCGGGAACCGGGGCCTCCTTCCCTTCTTTCTTCTCTCGGCTCAAACAGCCCGTCAGCGAGGTGCTCCCGGGCCGACTCCCCGACAGCAGCAGTTCCCGCCGCCCCACCCCCCAGCTGCTTCCCTTCCCGCAGAGCTGCTCAGCCACCCCAGGTCCTGTGCGCGCTTATCGTCTGGGACAGTGATTTGGTTAATTGCTCTAACCCCTTGCATGTGCTAGATGCTCAATAAATATGTGTTCTATGAATGAATGAACGAGGTCAAATAAATAGAAATAAGCAAATTACAAGGGACAAGAAAAAAAATTAGACTCGATGAATTTTTGCATATATGTATTAATTTACAATAAAGGATTTATTAGCTACTTTGATAGTCATTAAAGTTGAATATACCTTTAAATAAACCTTTTCATGTATAGGTTTTTAAAAATGTAGTCTTTACAAGCCTTTATATGTATTTGTCTAAAATATATAAATTAAATACATAATTATGTAAGTGGTAATAAAATTAAGGTTTTTACTCTAATTCTAAGATAATTGTTAAATAAAAGTTTATCTATTACACTGAAATTACCACTGTAATAAAATTTCCTTCAGTAAAGATTCATACTCATTATCTTGTGTGCATATATATTCATATTTCTTTAAAATTATACCAACTATATTCTTAATTATTTTTATTAATACCACTTTTAGCCAAAGTAATCAAATTTTGTTTTGTTTACATAGAAAGCTGAAAGACAGAAAGCCAAGCACTGTTTAGGTCAATTTTTATGAGTACACATTACAGATTGCCTGTTAAGTTTTAAAGTGGTAAATGCACATATATAAATATCATTCAACCTATTTGCACATTGTGCTCAGTCATTTTATAATATATAAAGATAAAATGAAACTATCTTTAGCAACCAAAGCTTTGTATCACTTTTACTTAGAAATTGTCCAAGTATATAAGGTTTAATTTAACATTTCTGAGGTTTTGAAAAGTTAACTGAGGACTTAAAAAACTAAAAATTTAGCTAAAATTTAGCTAGAGCCAGCTTTATACTGTTAAAAAATAAACTGAGGCATTTTAAAAATTTTGTTTGAGCAAAATCGATTCCAATAGGGCAGCGTCAGCCTGGAAGTGATCAGGGGCACTGAACCAACGGAGCTAGGGGAAAGTCAGAGGCGGCAGGAGCAAGGCAAGGCGACTCTGGCTGGCTAGAGCTTAAGCAGTTGCCTTACTTGGGAAAGCCTCATTGGCTGTTTGTGGGTGTCTTTAGGGTTCAATTTCTTAACCTGAGGCCTTACGGGCTTAGGTGTTGCTTTGCTCACGGGTTACTAAAGCCACCTCAATCTAATGGCCTCCTTGTTCAATAACACAAATATGAAACTATCTGTGTAAAAGGCTAATTACCTTCCCTCCTCAAGAAGAGAGGAGTTTAAATATAAACCACATAGTTAAAAAGCCCTGAAGTATGAAAATAAAAGATGGGCGGCCTTCTACATAAATGACATGTTCTCTTTAACTTTAGACAAATAACACAAAGGCTGTCCCCTTGAGGTTTTGTGTTTTTCTGGTGTTGTCTTCTAAGGTACTTCTCAAGTGAGTCTTCAACGTGTCACAGTTCCCCGAAGTGGTCACTACAATTCCTCGCTGAAGTTATGCTAGAGGTAGTACCAATCTATTAGCTGACAAACCCATGAAAAATTGCCTGATGTGCTATCAAATGTAAAACATTGTTATGTCTGTCTCAGGCTGACTACTGACCTGAGAAACGTGGTTAGAAGGCAACATGGGTGGACAGGATTCCCCCAAAGCAAGCTTCTCATACAAAGGCAAGACTGAGGTAAGTTTTCACGGACAAATAATATAAGATGGTGGGGAAGCAGACAGAAGATAGATGTGTTTATAGCCAAATTCACCAGAGGACACCAGTCTGATCAGAACCTCCAAACTCCAGCATGATACTGGGGCCAAAGAGATCATCAGAATGCAGATTACTGCAAAACCCATGTAAATCAGGGACAGAGGGGCCTTAAGAGGTCTCAGACATGTACATAATTACCAAACTGAAGAGCCTATTCATTGCAGTAAGGGTCTAAGTCGAGTGTCAGTAGAATCTCCAAATAGTCCTAGACTGACCAGCTTAAGACAACTATCTTAGTGCATTTGGGCTGCTGTAACAAAAATACCATAGACTGGTTGGCTTATGATAGAAATTTCATGTGGTTCTGGGGGCTGGGAAGTCCAAGAGCAAGGCCGGGGGGATTTGGTGTCTGGTGAGAAAACACTCCCTCATTCTAAGGCAGTCAACTTCACTATCTTCATAAGGAAGAAAGGGCAATGGAGCTCTCTGGGTCTCTCTGATAAAGTCACTAATTCTATTCATGAGGGTTCCACCCTCATGACCTAATCACCTCCCAATAAGCCCCACCTCCAAACACCGTCACACTGCCACACGAAGTCATGAAGGTGATGAGAACATCATTGAGACTTCCAGCACCAGGAAAATCTCTAAAGTGGTAAGGGGCCTAACTGAGCAACCTGGCCTTATTATCAAGGCTACATTCAACAAATTGTTAATATCCTTGCATTCCCCAAAGACCCAGGGTACCAGAAAGATCAATGTTGTCCATTAAGAAAAAATAATATGTGAACTACAAGCTACAGAGTGCCTTATTTTTTATACTGGTTGACTTCAGCATTATGGTAAAAATAAATTCTCAAAAAAGTCAATTTCAGCATCACATGAACATAAAGATTTGACATTTAATCTCTATATGTCTAGTGGCCCCTTAGGAAGCACTATGGGATAAGAAATATATTTAATTCCATTTTTATTTAATTTCTAAGGTAAATAAATTGGGAGGGAAAAAGAATCCATGAATTCTCTGTTATATGATGCACAGAAATTATATTGTTTTAAGTACATTTATTAAAGTGTTTTCATATTTGAATATAATGATTCCAGTCATCATCAGTGTAATGATTTACAAAAGGAGAATTACAGTATCTATTCTTGAGATTTTGCTCTATCCAGTGAATTTAAACAAAAGTGTTCTTTAACATTTATGCCTTTTGACAACTACCCAATGTATTATAGTATGCTATTAGTACACTAAAGTATGTAAAAAAGAAAAATTTTAACATCTGTAACTAATACACAATCATTTTTCATTATAAAAATTAATTGATATATGTGCATCTTATCTTAGTGACTAAAGGCATGAAACAGACTAGTAAAATTAACAGGATATGATATAGAAAACTAGATGATTGATTATAAGCACAATCACATAATTCTACTTCAAAGTCAAAAAAGGAAGATGTCAGGATTATAGAGCAATAGTGTATTTCTTCTTCTATTTTTCCCCTTGAAACAACAAAGACAAGAAACAAGATTTTATATTCTAATAAAGTTCAAACGTAATTTTTATAAAAACGAGTTAATGCTTGAATTCTAGAATAAAAACGGTAGAGCTGAATTTTTACTGGTATAATTAAAAGGGGACCGACTGAATTAAGTACCTTGCTCAAACACACACATCACCTAGCTAAGAAATTTTGAGACAATCAATCACTCAGGTTTGCAGAATACCAAATGCATTTTTCTAAATGTCACAAAAAGGCTGAGCAGAGTTTCTCCAAGGACACTCCAACGTCAGAATGTTAACGGTGGAGGCAGATTAAGCTGTCTGTGGGAAAGGAGAGTAGAAATATGCTGCCTTAAGAAGTTACAAAGAAAGGTCAATGTAAAGCCTGATAAATGTTAAGAATGTAATAAAGAACAAAAAATATACTGTATAAAGAGACTATAAGAAAACTCATGTATATTAACAATTTAAAATATTGCTTTGAAGATGAACTATTTGACCTTTATTTTCTTTATCAAAATGACAATTTCTCATAAGTACTAGCATAGTTTTGCTTTATTTTTAAAAATCTTTAAGCTAGCTAGCTACATAACACATTATAAAATTTGAGCTAAATAATTTTAAACTTTATTAACATGACTCTAGAGTAGTGTTAGTGAAAATCGAGGCCATTTTTTTTTAACGTTTAACTTTCTTATAACTAATTACATAGAACTAGCTTCACATTATCTTGTATCAAAGAATACACAGCCGACAGGAAAATAACTGGGAAAGCAACATCAGCATGTGAGCTTTAAAAACTAGTACGTTTGAAAGAGTTTGATTGAATGTTTAACAACTTTGTCACACAGTTGAAAATCAAAGTTTTATTTCTAAAGTCGAGACAATATGAAGCTAGCACTTCCAAGAAAACGCTGACATATCAGAAGAAAGTTGCTAAGTATAGTATTGATTTGACAAGAAGAGATTGGTCTTATGTGTATTACCCAGCACCATTACTTTCTCTGTTAAAACAACCCAAACTGAACACATCAAATGCGTGGCGTTTATTTTTTGTTGATTTTCACAGGTGACCCTCTGATGTTGAGCTTGTCCACAAAAACATCTGATCTTCTTCCACGTTCAATGGCTGGATTTTGATGAGATTTCTCCCTGAGAAATATTCATATGAAAATTAATACCATTTTTTAAATGGTCAACAGTTTATAAATCAATACAAACATGTTAAAAACCACTGTAATTTAAGCAAAGTTTTATCTTCACAGTTCCTTAATAGCTTTGAAAAACACACTGCAGACTATTTCACTTAACATTTAGGAAAGCAGCAGCTGCTTTCCTGAGATAGATTTAATGATGTATGGTTTAACCATGATGTTCGGCATGGTAGCCATAGTAATATCATTTATATTTAAATTAATTAAGATAAAAATTTTAAGATTCAGTTCCTCAGTTGCACCAGCCACATTTTAAGTGTGACAGTACAGATATATAACATTTCCATCTCTGCAGAAAATCATTTCAGAAAGTTCTATCACACAGTGCTAGTTTACAGAAGATGTCCCTGATAGGACCACACACTTATAGATTATCTATAAAGAACATGCATTCTTTCACTGAGACCTGGATTTCATAGTCAATCTTACCACTGTTGGGTTTTTATCAATAAACTTTTCAAAGTGAGACAAATATCATCTAAAGTTAATATGGGAGCAGATTTTCCATAGAAAATATTAGGGCTCTAAACTCCAAACAGTTATTTTAAAATGAAAGATGCTAGCACATGAAATTCTGTAAAAGGCTTCTGCTTTGCTACCCCCTTGGCTACCGCTGGTTCTGTGAAGCCTTCTGCGGCAATCCTCCCCTTTATGCCTTGAACAGGTCTCTGTTTGAAGGCCTACTGAGGTCTCTCTCTGTCTCTCTCCCTCATGTGATTTCAATAGGAATTAGGTACAGTTTTCCATTTTTCCCCCCAGAGAACCAAATTCAATTGTAACTCTAGAATATATACTAAATGCATAAAAATCCCTATAATCTTTAACATTTCCATTTCACAGCTATTCCAAAGGTAATTCCAGAGGAGACTAAATTTTTGCAAAATACTTCCGAAATATCTAATACAGATATTGCTAAACATTAAACAGGTGTCTGAAAATGCATTTACCATTAAATACTGATTTTTTACTTATTAGGAAAGCTTTGTTAAGCCTTTAAAACCAGTCCCTTTCCCCTTATCTCTAGATACCAAAATCATTACTTGCTATGAAACATGACTCCTACCTACTACATCCACATTAACACCTATTTCACATGAATAAACATATAACAGCAGGTGACAGTTCCTTAGGGGGATGTAGCTCCTATCTTCTGAAGCACAATCTGCTAGTGAGTTACTGATTATGTAATCCTGAAATATTTTTGGTTTCTTAGGTATAAAATTAAATTTGTGTGGAGTACTTAGATATAATGTAAAATTACAGCTTTCACAAAAGATTTGTTGACACAAACAACTTAGATGTTAATGAGAACTTCTTGATAACAGAGACAAAATTAGGTAACTTTTTTCCTAATAATTCTTTCAACAACACAATTTGTTTTAGAAATAACTTTTACCTTCTTTTAAGTTCTCGGGATCCTGAATTCTCATGCCCAACACTTCGCATCCTGGTGTTTTCTAGATTGCGCCACTGTCCCCCTGATTTGTACTTTAAAATCTCATTTTGCCACTCATCATCAAAAGCATGAGCATCACCTACATTAAATATGGAAACAAAGGGTCAAAAGTGTTAAGGTATCAACTGTCAGTAAATGCCTTGCTCCCCACACACTTCATTCTAGCCTGATGTTTCTGTCAGCCTGACCTCAAGATAGAGGCAGGAAACTGCTCCAGATAAATATAAAGGTCTCTGACTCAGGATATACTTCCTTTTCTGTTTGCTCCTCTCCTATTCCTTTTGATAATTTTGTTATTGATGATCTGGTTTCTGGCTATCGTATTACTCTACCCAATGGACTTCTTGACCCAGTTACACTCACTCACCGTCCTCTTCACTGGGCCTTCCCATAGTGATCGCCCCTTTTCTCTGCAGCTGGACCCTCCTCCTGTGGCCAGCACTTCCTATCAACCTCACCATTTTCCTGTGTAACTTGGCCTCACAGGCTTCTGTTGTCAGTTTCCTGACAGGTTGGTTACTCACCTTGACTGTCAATTTATGTTGTTAGGAAGTAGGTCATGTAACTTCCATAACAACAACAACAGATATAAATGACAACAGATAAATACTTGTTCTTTCAGATGGCCTTTATAAAAATGTATTCCTTCACTACATTTTTTTCTTCAACATGTTAATTATTGTGAAGTATTCTGTATATATTTCAATATGACAAAATTATAAAGGCTAAAATTAAAGAAAGGTTAAGATGTTGTGACTTCCATCTCATTGCACAAGAACAAGTTTATTAAACTCCAACCTTAAGAGAAATTGTTTCTCTAAAAGTATACAATAATTCAAACCTTTTACTATGATAAAATACTTTTATTCAGAATAATTTCTGAAAACAGGAGATGAATATAACTTAAAAACTATAATGAGAAGAGTTAGGATATGGGAAAGATTTAAATTCTTTTAAAAGTGAATATAAAAATCGAGAAAATGAAAAGATTTACTTGATACATACATATCATATATTATATATATATGATATATTTCTAATAATATCAAAAATCTTATCGATATAAAAGTCTAAATATCCAAAAATACAGAACCGTTTAAATAAATTATGGCCTATTCATGATAAAACTTTTAGGTAACCATTTAGAATGTTTTTGAAAAATATCATTGGTGACTGTTCACAAATTACAATGAAGAATTAAAATAAGCACAATAGGCCCAGCCTGTCGTGGCTCAGCGGTTGAGCGTCAACCTAGGATCCAGGTGATCGGGGTTCGATTCCCGGTCAGGGCACATGCCTGGGTTGCGGGCTGTAGCCGATCAATGACTCTCTCATCATTGATGTTTCTATCTCTCTCTCTCTCCCCCTCCTTTCCTCTCTCTGAAATCAATAAAGATATATTAAAAAAAAAAAAAGATTTAAAATAAGCACAATATAAATTATATAGATAGTAAAATATTAACTTTGAAAAAGTATGCATGTTTATACATACATAAAATTACTAGGAAGAAATACACTAAAACATTAATAGTAGTTATTTTGGGTTGAGATTACAGATCATTTTAATTTTTTTCTTTATACTTTCTTACACTTTTCAAATGTACTTCTGTGAAAATCGGAAATATTTAAAAAACTCATTTAGCCAACTGAATCTTACTAAATAACAATTCAAAATATTCCATTTCCCAAATAGAAAACAAAAAATGATGCTCAGCATTATAAAAAATTATCTACTATGAAATTATGAAGCCACAATTCTATTACTTTGATAAGGTATTTCCTACACATTCATAAACTACCCCAAAACGACATCTTATGAAATGTTTCTACAAAAAATATTCCAGTTCCCCAGTACAGGTGCTGTTTTAAATTTAGGAGGAAGCATGCTGTTTTCTGTGATAACTGACTTTCGTTCATGTTGATGAATTCCTGGTTGACCTCTTCATCTCCAGTCTTCTTGTTCTTTAATTTTTTAATGACATGAGCTCGGTCATGGAGATGATGACCCACAGCCATTTTTTCTAGCCCACTGTCAGAATCTCTCAGTGCTTTCCTAGTTTCCTTTACCTGTAAAAGTAAAGAAAATTTAAAAAAATAAGCTATTATTTAAATATATATACAATGGATATAATTCTAAACTTCTCAGGGCCTATTTACTATAGAGATTAGACCATAAATCTACTGTTCTAAAAATAATGGGTAGTCAGTTCCACTACCAACTTGCAGTAAAATTACGGTAATAGTTCTCTGATATTTCCTTAACGGCTTGAAATTAAAATGTCTAGGACAAATAGAACCAAAACAACTAACCTTTTTCAAAATTGTAATCAAATATTAAAATAAAGAATAACTTAATTATGTGGAACTTAGTGCCTTCAACATTGCCCTTGCTTGACAATGTAATAGATGGGAATACGTGCTAGCATTCCTACAAGTAAGGGTAGCTAATTATCCAGCAGTTATGTTGACGGGATTGAATCTCATGACTCCTACCTATGAACTCTATGGGTTATCAGAATATTTATGATAGCCAAAAACTATTAACATGGTTTGCTGTAGGACATCTACATTTATATTCTGCTTATGTTTAAGATGCATATAACATTTACAGCAAGTTAAAATTAATGTGCCTGAGATGATTTAGCTGCACTATTGCAAAGGCATCATTAAAAGGTATGTCTTGTGTGTAAGAACTAAAAAATGAACCACTCATACCCATTAGACAGGCAAACCTAATTTTTTTACTATAAGTATATTAACAGGAAAATCAAGAAATGTGAACTCTCATACCAGAGTTTGCGGAAGCTGACTGCTTTGATCAATGTGTGATAGTAACTTGGTAATTTCTAATGAAAATGACACACCCTTACTACAATCTAACAATACCATTCCTAGAGCCTTTGCACAAGAAGACTTGTATAAATATGATTAAATTAAAAATTTAAAATACCTAAATGTTAATCAGTAGAAAAATATATTTAAAAACTGTGGTATATTCATATTTGGGATACTATTTAAAAGTTAAAGAAAGCAGAGCTACACACTTGAGCTATGGAAAGCAGAGCTATATCAACTTGAATAAATCTCAGAAGTATATTACTGAGCAAAGTCAAGTTATCAAGGACACATGCACTATGACACAATTTATATAAAGTTTAGAAACCTATTTAAATAATTCATTATATTGTTTATGAAGCATATATAAGTAGTAAAATTGTAAAAACATGCATAAGAATGATAAATTCCAGATATAGGAAAATGGCTCTTCTGGGGAAGGGAGAAAAGGAAAAGGGACAAGGAGAAGAAGGACATTGGAAGCTTTAACTGCATCTGCAAAGTTTTTTGCTTAAAATGAAAACAAAACAAGAGAGCACTTAGAGAAAAATATTGTGATTTGATTAAACTGGGTGAAAGGAATACGAGTATTTATATTATTCTTTATACCTTTCTGTACACTTGAAATATTTCATGAGTTTAAAAAATTTATTTACTTTAAATGTAAATTAAAAGTAGACATTTGTTTCATGAAACAAAGACTTCTTTTAGTGTCTATATACCTGTCAACATGTAAAGGTAATAAACATCAATAGATATTTACATGAATAAAGGTAGGGTAGGGGAGACACAAAATGCCTGATTGTTTCTCACAGTGACATGGGTCTCCTTTCCCTCCACACCCCCACAGTACCAGGTGAAATGTTATTAACTAACATTTCATATAGGTGATCTATCATTAGACAACTTTATAAAGCTCTCAGAAAGCTTAGGAAATACTTACTCCTCCTGGAGCCTGACGGATTTGAGTTGAGGCCTGGAAAACCTTTGGTGGTTCATCACCTACTTTGGAATAAGTCATAACTGAGGAAGAAGTAAACGAATGTCCATTTGGGTCCATTGAAAGTTGACCCTAGAAATATAAGTTGTAAATCCAGAGAGTTTAGTCAAATATGAAAAATTAACATCCGAGAATTCAAATAAGGAACAACACGAGCCAGAAGTTCTACTAAGGATACTATGCTATGGGCATGGTGTATCCAAATGGCACCCCCAGGAAAGGCCTAACTTACTTCCACTTTAGCAACCAATTCCCATTCCCCTTGTGAGGAATAACAAGCAGTTCACTCAAAGATCCTTCAGCCTTTGGGATCAAAGGCCTATGGCTTAGATTTAAATACAGATGCTGTGATACTTTTAGTCAGTGGTTGACGTCTGTGTGCTAGTTTGCCAACCTTGAGCCAACTGGCCATACACCAAGAGTTTTATACATCTTGTGGGTACCAGATTGCTACATTATTAAAATCATTCTGAAGTTATCCTTAGATTTCAAATTAGATGACTAAAATAATATGGGCCCTCTTCATATCGAACCAAGTTATTGTTTTCATGTGAATATTATAAGTAGAAAAGTAAGAGCATTAGTGCTAGTTTATAAGTATTTGGACTGTATGGATCTAATCCAGTGTTTAAACATCATTCCTGAAATTTCTATTTTCAGATTTTTTTAAACACTAAAACTTAATTTCTTAGATGATACAACTCCTTTTAAGTAGACAAGTTATAAAATAAAGAAATCTAAATTCATATAAAATGTTCATTTATAATAGTGATCTTCAGCAGAACAACTGCTCTTGAGGTTAAATTTCTCTAATTTTGAAAGCTAAGTAATGCTATTTTGTCAAACTTGTTGGTTGTGTAATCAATTTTGTGGGTTGTGACCAGGATTTAAAAAATATGAGATAAAATAGAAAATATCAGCACACATTGTAAGTAGCATGATCATTTTCTCATGAAACTTTTTTTCAGGTTTATTTATACAGTATACAATTATTGTGTACTGGATCATGATATAAGATATATTTTTAACCACTGTGTATCACGGTTAAAAAGAGTTTGAAAGCCACTCTAATATCGGGTACCAAAAACAGAAAACGCTCTCATCACTTTTTTAGTACTTACAAAGTTTCTTTGTAATTCCTGCATACTGTTTCGCATATTTAACATCATTCGGTCCACTGCCTGAAAAGGGCTGACATCTGTACGCTACAGAATATTAGGAAGTATGTTATTAATTCTAAGTATAACACAAAAGAAACAAATCAACCTTTCCAAAAAAGCTGATTTTTTTTCTCGATTTATGCAGTGGGATCTCATGCAGTAATCGACCAGGCAAAGATAATTTAAGAACTATACAATGAAAATGATTTGTTAAAAAAGTTAAAGCATACACAAAATCCCAAACAGCCAACATATAAATGATTAGGGAGCTGTAACACTATAAATACATGTATACATATATGTGTGTATACACACACACACACACACAGACATAGGATGGGGCAAAAGTAGGTTACAGTTGTGAATATGTTAAACACAGAATTTATTCTTGTATTATAATTTATTAATTATTGTATTATTTTCCATACGAACAACTGTAAACCTACTTTTGCCCTACTTTGTACATGCAAAAACATATATACACACCCATATCATTCATCAACTTTCTCAAAACATATTTAGGTAATATTTAAACAGAGAGTGATGTATTCTGGGCTGGTACAGCTCTAGCATATGCTAGTCTTCAAATCTTTCTTTCTTCCCTCTCTTAATACCCCACCACACAAACAAATAAAACTTGGGCATAAGATACCAGTGTCACCTCCACCAGTACCACATGGCTCACAAAAGCTGAGCTACCCCAGCTTTTTATCATTGTGGGGTCCAAGTGATAGAGCTTAACACACCCTACTAATAGGTCTTGAATTTGCCTCCTACATTTGAAGGCCCAGGAGGGCATGCCCTTGAAGCACAAGGTAGACTCCTTTAGGAGGACTGCTAAGAATTCCTCTAGAACAGTGATTTCTCAATCAAGAGAGACTGTGACTCCAGGGGACTTATCCAGAGAAATACTCAGTTTTGTTAGTCACAGTTGAGGAGGCTGTATGACTGGCATGTAGTGCATAGAGGCCTGGATACTGTTCAACATCTTACAAAGCTTAGGGCAGCCCCCACAGAACAAGAATCATCAGCCCAAAATATCAGCAGTGTCACCTTTGAGAAACTCAGCTCTAGAAAACTCTGCTATTAATAACTTAAGTTTTATCACTGGAATACTCACCAGAAATTAAAAAGTTAAGCATGCATTGTGTCCCCAATGCACTGCCTACTATTATAAAGCAGAGAGAATGTTTGGTTCAAGTAACTCAAGCAGGAGTAGTCTTTTGAATCCTGTTAGGCACTGTGGTAAAATGCTGATATTTCAGCCCTGCTGGAGACTCTCTGCTGTGTGCCAAGCTAGGACTCAACAAAAAATTATCACAGGCCTGTTTATGTTTTTGCTTTCTGTTGGGTTTTTATTGCTAGAAACAATGGGAAATAGATGGGAAAACCAAATTGCCATAATTTTGTGAATATTTAAAATGTGCACTTAACACAGCATAGAACACAAACACACATTTAGGAGATGCTGATACATCTCTGTACACAAAGGACTGCAATAGAATTAATCTGCATTTCAGAGGTTCAGGAAATATTCTGAATACTTTGTTTTAATACTAGCTTGAGGATCAGGGCTGCATAAGACACACAATTCTTGAGAGCTGAAAGAGGGCTAGCCCAAGGAAGAGAGGGGGAGGGCGGGCAGGTGCGGAGGAGGGGAGAAGAGCAGATGTCTGGATATATTCTGCTCTCTTCTCAGTTCACTGTCAAATCAGCCACCTGTACCTGCTGTGGGGTATCCCAACACCTTGGAGTGACAAAAAGTAGGGGTACAAATTACAGCTGAGATTCCAGTGGACTCGTAAGACCTTCAGGAGCTTTGTACAGATGCTCTTTTCTCTCTGCCTGAATGCTTTCTCTAGACTCTTAGTGCAGGTAGTTTCTTCTCATCATTTGAGTACCACCTTCTTAGAAAAGCCTCCTACATGAACTAATCTCTGCTTCCCCTCCCCCCTCCCTCACTGTATCTTTACCCTTCAGAGTACTTGGAAGTACTTGGACTACCTGAAATCATGCTGTTGTTTACTGTCTGTCTTCCCACTCAATAAAAATAATCTCTGTGAAGGTAGGGCCATCTTCTGTCTTATTCACTACTATACACCCAATATTTAAAAAATAATTCCTGGCACATAGGAAGGCTCAATAAATATTTGCTGAATGAATAAACAAATTCTCTCTAGCTCAGCTCAAACCCCTATATCCACCATTTACCAGATTAGTAGATCTACCTGGATAACCCACAAATGCCTCAAATACAAAAGGCCCCAAACTGCAATGATCCTTTTGGCCATCCTGCCCTCATATCTACCCAGCATCAATGCTCTGTTTTTTATCTCAGTGGCATTCCCATCTACCTAATCCCTCATACCAGAAAAATGGGTATAATACTTTCCTTCCCTCTCTCTACTGCTCCTGCAAGCCAACCAATCACCAAGTTCTATCCATTCCTTCACCTCGTTAATTGTTGCTCAAACGAAATTGTTTCTCTTTATCACCACAGCCATTACCCAAGTAGAAGTTACCATGAATGCTACTCACAACACTTTAACAGCCTCTTGGCCTGCCTGCCTCCGCTGAGGTCCCTTCTATTCTCTTTTCCCTATGAGCACAATGACATTTCAAAGATGAGAACCTGACTCTATTACTATCTATTTTGATGAAAATTCGTAAACTGTTTCCTCTGCTCTTATGCTAATGTCCACAATCCTCGCCAGGGCTGAAAGAAGTCCCTGGTTACCTCGCTACCCTGCTCTGTATCTACCCTTCAACTCCTATTCCAGGGTCAAGGGTTCCTAAATATTTTTGCACCCCCTAGCGTCCATGTCTTTGCACATCCTGCCTCCTCTGTGTTGAACCCTCTTTTCCTCCCCTCCCTGTTTTTCCTCACTAACTCCTGTTAATCCTTAAGGTTCGGGAATCTTCTCTGATTGACCTCTACCCCCGTATCCTCAAAGGGTTACAGGCTTTTTCTACCTGTGTTCCCATAGCATGTTGAACTTCCTATCATTTTACTGATAACTCTGTGCTATAATTGCTTCTTTTCTTTATCATTTGTCCCACTAAAAACTCTGGCCAGGAAGGTCAAACTTTAAGGAGACAAATGGCTGAAATCTGACACAAGATTTCACACTTTTCCATGAGGGTATAGATGCCTCCATAGGAAATGTTCCAAAGTCATGCTCTTCTCTGCTACCCCTTAGATTGCCTTTAAGTGTGTTAGAAACTAGAATCACAGAAAATAGGATGCAAGCCCAAAGAAACAGGGGTGGGAGAAAAGCTGGTTGCAGAGTAGACACATCTGGACATGGGAAAGAAAAAGCAGCATGAATAAATTGCCGGTAGAGGCCTAGCGAAAGCAGCCTATCTGAGCTTTGCCAAATGTGTTTGTCTATCTACATACAGCCTGGTGCTCTTTCACCTGTTGGAAAGTCACCATAAGCATGTCTCCAACTTTCAATCGCTTTCATAAACCAAGTGAATGCTCATTCATCTATTTAAATGTACTTTTATTTTTATTTTTGAAGACTGATTTTACATAAAGTATGTTGATAGGACTTACTTCATAAAGTACATGCCAAAACACTGTAAAATATTTATTACATGAAAAAGGTTTCCAGTACGAATACTAAAAAGCCATTATAAAAGAGAAGCTGCATGCCGATTCAATTTGCTTGAGTTCATGAAAAATAAATATTTGTCAGAAAATATTGCTAAAATGGTTTGTGTCTCATGATATGAACCATACCACCAAAACTGCCAAAAGGCACAAGAGAACTCACTGCCTAGAAAAAAATCCAATTAATGTTGGTTATGATATTTATTACACAATTATTCCTGAAAAAGAAATGATGCACTCTATACTGACACAGTTCAGTGCTAATAAAATTACAGATCCTTTTAATCAAACAGAACTCAACATATATCTTTAAAATTCTCCACTTATTATTTGTTGTACAGCCTGACAGGAGCCTGGCAGGCAAACAGGGGAGGCCGTATTTCACTTTTAAATACGACTACTCTAGTATTTATTAAAGGCAGTTGAAAAGTATTTGCTATGGCTTAATACACACATTTCTCAAAGGAAAAGCAAATTTACACCAAAATTAATTAAAACATAATGTACAATGATTAAGATTGTATCATTTTTCCTGTGCTCAGCTATTCCATATTTTTAAAAGATCAGTTAATCTTGCCTTTAACTGATTAAAAATAAAAAGTATCTACATTAATAACAACTCAAAAGATTAGTAGAGCTATTGGACAAAAAATTTAATAAATATTTCCTAAGAACTAATTTATGAAATAAAAAATACAGATTTCAGAAAGGATCACACACATAGATTTAAAAGTAATTAAAGTCTTTGATAGGCAAAAGAATGTTAAGTATAATAGATGGAATAATCAAAATTAATAGTTCAAAAATTATACTCCTCAATAGGTACAGATGAACAAAAATAACATTTTAGATATGTATGCAAATTAAAAACTTTCTTTACTTGAGAGTTTCAAATGTTGAAAATAAAATTTGAATTTCTGGGTAAAAGCTATATATAATCAGCGATAAATAATTTTCTCCCTATGTAACATGTTGAAAAATAGAGAAAACTGTGTTTACACTAAAAATTAGAAATCAAATGATATATACTTATACTGTATATCTACAATAGTAATCTCCAAAGTGTCTTGGATGCACCAATAAGATTCCTCTTTCTATTTCCTTTCACTGAAAGAAAAATAATTCCTTTTTATTTCTTTTTAACTCTGGCACCAACAATCAACCTAACTGACAGATGCTCATATGTCATATGTTGAATTACATATTGCCTAATTAAATAAATTTAGAAATTAAATTATCTAGTTTTAAACAAAATTAATCGCCCCCAAATGGATGACTGGCTTAAAAATAGCCCAGAAAGAAATCGTGAACTGAAGAAAGCAATACAAACACAAGAAATACAATACAAACACAAGAAAATGGCACAGGTGATGCCTCTCCTACTTTTGTAGGAGTCTGTTTTCCCTCATAAATTTATGTGTGTGTGTGTGTGTGTGTGTGTGTCTGTGTGTGTGTGTATAACCACTATTAACTAAAAGAAAATGAATTAGAATGTGAATAATATATATTGGAATAACATGCGTTAAAGATGACAAATGTAAAGAAATTGGCCAAAAATAAAGAAAAAAAAGGATCAAGGTGTCTATTAGAAATACAGGTTTTCATCCACTATGCTTAAAAGCATCAACGTAATGGCTGACTGCTCCATCAAAACACTCACTCATTTTAAAACATAATGTCACTATACATAGCCCTACTCTTTTCTGGCTATGGTTGTAACAGATATACGAAATATTCCAATGGTCATGTGAAAGACAAAATTTCAGAATGTCACATTTGATTTTTCTGACCCCCTTTGATAATTTAGCTTTTGATCTTAATTTTAGACTTCTATGGAAACTGATAAAAAAATTATGTGTGTGTGTGTGTGTGTGTGTGTGTGTATAACCACTATTAACTAAAAGAAAACTAATTAAAATGTGAATAATATATATTGGAATAATATGCATATAAAAAAAAATGTGAAGATTACTTTCACTTAAATGGTACATGTAATTCTATTCATCAAACTTCTTAGGAGTATTTAAAATATTTTGCTCTATTTAAGATGATTGAAAACAGAAAATATGTGTTTTTTCCTGGGAGTTTTCTAATTGACCAATTTAATGTTCAGTGAGTTCCAAATATCTACATTTCAATTTCAGAGATTCATCTTTATAGAAACTTCTATGCATTTGCTGTTCTAGAACTGCTCTTCCTGAGGCTGAAAAAGCAACAGAAATAAAAAGAAAATAGTCGAGACATATAAATATCCTGAGATTTTTTTTGAGTATGTTTGTAATCTAGCTTTGCTCTCAGACAAGACTTATGAAAATACATTGCAATTACGCAAGACTCCTGAATACAGTTAAAAGGTTAATCTAAGTTGTGAAGGTCTAAAACTTAGGTGGACTTTGAAGAAGTCAACTATGAGACTGTTTTTTCCTGGTCAACAAAGAGAAAGCATTATGCTGGAGCTTCAGCTACTGTTTTAAAGTGGGAAAAAAGTGTTGTATGGGACAGAAAGGATATTTCCTTGCCTTTTCTAATTTAAGACATGGGAGACAATTCTAAGGTGAGAACAAACCATTTATATACATATGAAAAATAATGCTTTAAGTTTGGCTTATCATATATAACCCTATGATCCTAAAAGTTTAGGTAGCACAGTGAAATACTACACAGCTCATAATTCACTGTTAAAGGATTCAGCTTTCCAACAAGTCCCTTCCTTTATAGAACAGTTTTTTCCATAACGTATTAGTCATATCCTATCATGATAGATATATTCTTCTATAATATCTTTCTTCAAATTCCTACAGGACCTTCTGGCTAACTTTAAAATAATGAACTTACAGTCAAGAAATTTTCACCATCATCATGTCCCGTACGATTACGAGATCTTCCTCTACCGTCAGAGATGCTAAGCAAGTCTCTTCCAAAGGGTTCAGAAAAACTTCTCATCATCTGTCGCATACTTTCTCGGTGTGCTTTAAAGGAATCACTGTCGAAAATATATACAATCATGTCAGAATAAGTGCTGGAATTTAAATGGTAAGGATGCAAATAAATACTACAAAGAAGTCTTCTGAACTAACATGTTTGTTAAAGTGGCAAAAGAACACTTTAGAAAAGAATTACCTCATAAAAACCCACTACTCGTGAATACAACTTATAGACAATAGAATTATCTCATAAAGACCTACTATTCACAAGTAAAGAACTGTTCTACTTGTTATTCATAATTCACGTGTGTGTAATAATAAAAATACACCTTTATCCTTTACGATATAAAAGTGATAAAACAAAGTAATACATCTCTGGTAGCATAAGCTAGCTCTAAGGGAAATGGCAAAAAGGAGACTGAAAATGAAAAATGCTGCTATCAGGTAGAGGCCACCTAGGACAGTCAACAATGTAAATTTTAGGACTAAAAAAGAAGGCTGGCTTACTTATTATTATTATTTTTTAATCCTCACCCAAGGTTATTTTTTCCATTGCTTTTCAGAGAGAGTGAAAGAGAAAGAGAGAGAGAGATTGAGCCAGAGAGACAGAGGGAAACATCAATGTGAGAGAGACTCATTGACTGGCTGCCTCCCAGGCATGAGCCCTGACCAGGGCCAGGAATGGAGCCTGCAACCGAGGTACAGAATCAAACCTGGAACCCTTCAGTCTGCGGCCAACACTCTAACCACTGAGCAAAAATGGCTAGGGCATTACTTATTATTTTTTAGATTAAATTTAGTGGGGAGACATTGGCTAATAAAATTATATAGGTTCCAGGTGCACAATTCTATAACATCTCATCTGTATGCTGCACTGTGTGTTTACCACCCAAAGTCAAATCTTCTTCCGTCACCATGTATTTGACCCCCTTTACTACTTCCCCCCACCCTCCTTTCCCTCTGGTTACCACCCTACTGTTGTCTGAGTCTATGAGTTTTTGTTTGTTTGCTCATTTGTTGCTTTCAGTTTTATATCCCACATATGAGTGTAATCATATGGTTTTTTAATTTTTTCCATCTGACTTCTCTTAGCATGATATTCTCAAGACATATCTGTGTTGTCACAAATGGCAGTATCTCATCTTTTCTTATGGCTGAGTAGTATTCTATTGTATATATGTACCATTTCTTTATCCAGTCTTCTATCGAAGGACACCAATTATTTTCATATCTTGGCCATTATAAATAATGCTGCAGTAAACATGGGGGTACATATATCTTTTTATTTTTTATTCTTTTATTTTGAAGAATAGTTTATTGATTTTTAGAGAGACGAAGGGACGGGGAGAAACATTGATGTGAGAGTGAAACATCCATTGCTGCCTCCAGAACACCCCGTACTGGGAATTGAGCCCGCAGTCAGGACTTGTACCCTCACCGGGAATTGAATCAGCAACCTTTTGGTGCATGGGATGCCGCCCAACCAACTGAGCCACACCAGCCGGGGCTCAATGAACACCTTTATGTTTACTGTGTGTCAAGCACAGAGCCTAATTACAGGTCTGGAAGAATTTACAGTCTGACAGAGAAGTGAGACATATGTTTTAAAATTAAGATTATAAAACTTGAATATTGTAGTAGTTTACTATTGCTTCTGTAACAAATTACCACAAATTTAGAAACTTAAAACAACACAAATTATTTTCTTATAGTTCTGGAGGTCAGAAGCTAGGATCAAGGTGTTGGCAGGGCTGTGTTCCTTCTGGAGGCTGTGGGAAAGAATCTGTTTCCTTGCCTTTGAGAGCTCCTGTGTTCCTTGGCTTGCAGTCACTTTCTCCATTTGCAAAGCCAGCAGCACAGCATCTTCAAATCTCTCTCTGACGCTCATATTTAAAGGACCCTTGTGGTAAACTGAGCCCGCCTAAATAATCCAGGTTACTCTTCTATCTTAAGGTTGGCTGATTAACAACCTTAATTCCATCTGTAACCTTAATTCCCCCTTGCCGTGTAAAACAACATATTAAACGGCTCTAAGGATTAGGACATGGACATCTTTAGGGGCGCCATTATTCTGCCTACCACAGGTATATTCCTAAAATCACAGATATGCTGAATCAAAAATCCCTGGGTATATATCTCTGTATCTTTCTGTATCTGTTTTGTTCATCAGTTTATTTTTTTCATTATATTCCACATATGAGTGAGATCATGTAATGCTTGTCTTTCTCTGGCTGGCTTATTTCACTTAGCATAAAATAAACTGATGAACAAATAGATACAAAGATATAGAACCATGGAGCAGTTGGATGAATTTCAGAGGGAAGGTGGGGGTTGGGGGAGAGAGATTAATCAAAGAACTTAGATGCATATATGCATGACCTACGTACACAGACAATAGTGTGGAGAAGGCCTGGTGGGGAAGGCAGGGGTGGATGCCAGGTGGAGGAGATCAATGGGGGGAAAACTGGGACATCTGTAATACTTTCAATAATAAAGATAAATTTTTAAAAAATCCCTGTGTCTATGTCTCTGGAATTTGCATTTTAATAAGTACCTCTGGTGATTTTTAAGCATGTTCAAGTTAAAGAAATAATCCACAGAGGGCAGGGAAAACAGTTTCCAACTGTTCCTGCCAGTCTACATAAAATGGTCTTAGAAGATTGAAATGCTATAAAATACAGCCTATGATTAACCTGGCACTAGTATGCTGAATGGGATTTCTATGACTGATGATTAAGACAGTAATAAAGAACATAAACCTGAATGAGGATGAGCCAAAGAGATTCTGAAAGTGTCAGCTCCTGAAGAAGTATCCACCCAGTGGCAGCATTCTCTCTGCACTAATGGCCTGATTTGCAACTGTTATTTTCTGTTATAATTCAAGGGGACTTTTGAGATCTTTCTTAGGCTACTAAATGATTGCAAAGTTAAAAAATAATTTATGAAATCCATGACAATAAAAACAACTTTCTGTTCCTAATGTAGCAAAGCAGCTTCTGCTGTGATTCCCAGACTCCGCCCCCAAAATCCTTTCCTGATAACTCTTTGAGCTATTGTCTCCTTTCCTTTAGGCACTTAAAACAGTCTAAGTCACTTATACTTATGTCCTTTACTTCCTTGTAGCTCTTCACTTTATTTCTTTACAAACCCTTTTTCCTTCCTTTGACTTCTGCATTAAAACTCCAAGAATTCCCCTAACCTTCCAATTATGGAAACCTAAAGTTTCATTCCTTGGGGGGACAAGGTGCTGTTCTGAGCCTTGTTTGATAAACTTCTCCTTTCATAGTTTATTTTCCCTCTTGTCCTTGAAAAGCTTCCTGAGTTTCACAGATACATTACTGGTGTTTCAAAGTCTTGATTCCTCAGCCTCAGGGCTATCAGGTAGGGCCTAACTTGTGAAGCCCTCGGTGCTGGTTATTTCTAGCCTCTATCACTCTCCTTCCTGTACCCGAAGGAGCTTTGCATATATTTTCTAATTGTGAATGACATTAAAATGTTGAAAAGCAATGCCCCTTAAAAACATACTTTCTCTGGACTTCTATATCTGGACTTCTTTTCCTTGCCCTCTCTGGACTATTTCCTTTAACTGGAACATCTTAATAATAACCAGAGGTACTTATTAAAATGCAGATTCCTGAGACATACACCCAGGGGTTTTTGATTCAGCATATCTGGAGGATTTTAACAAGCATTTTAAGTCACTCGAAAGCAGATATTCCAAGGATAAACACTAATGAATAAACACTAATCTACTCTCAACTATTTTATCAGGAACCTCTAGTTCAATTTCTGCTTGTTTTAATGCAAATGGTACCCATTTATTTAATAAATACTTACTGAATTGCTATGTAAAGGCATTGTGCCAGGCAGTGGAAATAGAGCCCTGACTCTTGGAGGGCTATAGCCAATTTTCAACTACCCATTGGCCAGAAAGTTGTAATACTTTCTAAAGTACTCAGAGTATAAATTACAAATAATGATCAAGTGATTATTGAACATTTGCCCATTTCTATCCTAATAAGTCTCTAAACCTAACATTTCCAACATGTCTTTCCCCCAGACAGCTTTTCCTCTATAGCTCCATTTTTCTCAAAGGGATGCTATTCTCCAAGTCATCCAAGTTCAAAATTTCAGGAATGGGCTAGAAGTTAGTTGAGTTTTTATCTATCCTGTGCTAGCTCCAAGACAGGGAAAAGGTGAACTCTGGTTCCAGGGGAAGAATAAAGGAGATGGCAAGTGCTCTAGTTTCATCTCCTTCCATCAGGAAGTTACAGCTGGCTTACTTCTGAATTACCACTGCTTCATCTTCTTACTCTTTCCGTCTTGGGTTCTAACATCTAGTAACTCGAGCACAGTAAAATGAGTAGTCATACATATAAATTGGTTTCGCATCAAACTGAAACAATGGCCATCATATTTAGTGTTAAGAGAAGTCTGATGACAACCTAGTTCTCATTCTTGCTAAGAAATCTATACTTTATTTTTTAATGTACTGAAATTACATTATCATGGGTCCAAGTATAGAATTAAAAAAAAAAAAAAAGGATGTTATACTGTCAATCCTCAAGTTTCTCTTCTCAATATGGGTTCTAAGGATTTCAGCCTTTCGTTAGATCTAGAAATTACTCTTGTTATTTCTTTCTGTATTCACTATTCTCTTCTTTTTACCTGTTCTTTGTAGAACTTTTAACTCTGTGATTTTGTGCTGCATACTGGAAGAAACTCCTTGGCTCACAGTTCTTTCTTGGTGCTCACCCTCTCTCATTCTTTTCTTTTGGAGACTTCCCCCCACATCTTCCCCTGACTGTGGCTGCACTAAACTCTGTCCCTGGCTCCTAGGTCAGAATGATTTCAAGTCTCCTATCAGGGTTTTAGCCACTCTATATGGCACAAATGGGGATTACCCTCAGGCTAAAATTGTCTTTTCCTTCTTGCAACTCTTGAGTCACCACCTCCAGTGCATGTCTGCTTTTGGTCATTTTCTAGTACCTTCTCTAGAAAGCTGTTTTTGTATTTTATCCTCGGCAAAGTGTTATCTTCAGGAGAGTTGGTACAGCTGAATTTCTTTGGCCACACTAGAAATTAAAGTCTCCTAAAGATATTAATTACATTTTCT